TGAAAAGTGAAATTTACCGTCTATCATAAAATTTGTCATGAGTTTAGCTAACGGCAATTACCGATAGAGATTTGCTGGATTAAGATTAATGTCACAGAAACTGGGATCCAGTATCTCTGAACATTTAACACTTAATGTATGGTCCCGAGGGAAACAGTTAGTTTTGTTTTCTTGAGAGTACTGATGTTTCTCGAGACGAGGTCGAGAGAAACATAAAGACTCTAGAGAAAACAAAACTAGTTTCCTGAGAGACCATACATTAAGTGCTTTATATAAAAGAACCTCTTTTTGCAGCGTTTAGATCACCCCTGATGAAGGCACTAGACAGCAGTGTCGAAACACTGGGTCCATGAATTGTAACTTCTTCGGTTACATTCATTAAATCTGTAAACCAGAGCAGCATCAAACCATGTCTGATATTTAGACTTTCCCGTAAATAGTCATATAGAAAAAACATGCTACTATATTCGGCTCGTTGCAACGACTGCGCGAATGTATCCCGGTCTGGATACATTTGAATTTGATCAAGGGCACGTGATCAAGAATCAACCAATCACAGTGCGCGTTTTGTTGAGTGAAAGTCTAGGTGTATAACAATGAGTTTTGACCAATCCATTTGCTGAGATGAGGCGAGACCCATCTCAATCATCCCTCTAAAAACAACAGTTATTAAAGGAGCTAATGTCTACCACTGAGTTTACGACAATAGCTTGCTCACCAGTAACGCACACTTGAACAAAGGTGCCTTCCTCTTTGCATTCACATGTTGTGTAGCCATTTCCAGAACCACATCGATAATCTGAGTTGCAAAGGTATGGGGAACGGCACAAGTGGTCATCTGTTAAGATACAATTCAAAGATAGAAAACAAAATGGTGTTGGGCTTGGTATACTTGTCGTGTTTCATTTATTTTTTTTCAGCTTAATCGTTTTTCAAACTAATTTGATTTTCAATCTCCAGCAAAGCTAGCAAACCTCGAACCGTGCGTGCAGCGTAGCCTTAAGCCTTGGAAAATTCGGTGACCAATCAAGCCTGGAGCACTCGGTCGCAACATCACGAAACGTCCGCCTTCACGAGATGCTATATTCAGAAAGCGCGATCAGCTGCACTGCGTGTGCAACTCCCAAGATATTATTAGTAATTTTCCTTACTGTCTCCCTTACAGTTCTTGCGATGTTAGTTTGGAGAATTTGGTATTGTTTCAACTTATGATCCCCTTGCTTTATTCTCGTCACTTTTCTGCTAGTTATTACTGTAAGGAGGAATTCTGTCGTGGTCACCCATGGGAGTTAAAGGGTTAAACAAGGCCGAGTGTTTACAACTATTGACGGTTGAGAGTGGTTAAAAAGAATCCTTTTTCGAAGGGTTTTTAGAGTCCAAGCCAAATGTACTTAATTTAAGACAAAATGTGGTTGGAGATGAATCCCTCGAAATTTTTTTGAGAAGTTTTTCTTATAAATTCATAAATACGCCGATTGAAATTCAGTTTTCTTTCATATTTAATCTCCCTCACAGCAAAATTTTACCATGACACAATTTTTTCAACTCCGTGTGTTTGGCCATTGGCTGGACATTTTAGAGACCGCTAAGACTGTTGGGAATAAACCTTGACGTATGCAGTCAGTTTCGTACCACAGAATACCCATAAAATTTGTAAGAAAAAGGTATTTCCGTTCAAATAATGGAGACCTTTCCTAAAATAAAGTAAACTCAGTTGCAAATATTCCTGTGTCCGTTATTCCCCCTTATTTACCATGTAGAACTTACATGCAACGCGCACTTCAGAATACACTTCCACTTCACAAAGGGCAACTCTTTTGTTTGCTCCCACATTCTTGATAACAATGACACGCCCATGTAATTTTGGAGAACAGATAACTGATACAAACTTTTTGTTGGCTACACCGGCGTTTCCACACAGCCGTTGATCTAGTACAGAAGTCAATATCAAGTCTTTCCTACTTATCCAAAAACCAGTAGGGATAACGTTTTAAACAAGTTCAAAAATGAGATTTGCTAGGTGAATAATTGCGTTGAACTTACAGGTCAAATGCATGACTTTCCCAACACTTTCCCCGATATGTAACTGTTTCTATCACCTTCTTAAATTAGCAGGGGCTCCTGATTATTTAAGAAGGTGGGAGAAATAATTACAAATCTGTGTTTTCACCAGGATTTCCCGCTGAGGACTCACAAGGCCCCTTGACTGAATGATGTGAGCCCTGATGCGAGCCCTGCAGAACTTGAACGAGACAAAATTACTATCAGTGCAAAACTACGACAATGGGACGTATGTGTTTCTATTTTCGACGGAATCACATCCAGGTGAAAACACTGTAGTGTAATGAAACATGACAGTTTAGTAATTCAAGTACACATGTCGTAAATGCCAGCGGTTCATCAAACCTAACTTATCTCTAACAGTTTAAAGAATTACATATAATATAAAGAGTCAGCTAAGGCTTAACAGCCTTATATTCCTATTGGTTTTCTAAATGACGCCTTGCCTTTCATTTCTCTTACTATTTCCTATCTTCTTTTATTAGATGTAATTTTCACTCTGGTGACTTAATAAAGACTTTCCTTAAGAACGAAACTAGAAACAACGATCATGATAAAATACAGTCAGAACAACGAAAATGGGCTGGTGCTTCATGCGGCATTTACGTTTAAAGCTTCAAAATTAAATGACAAATTCGTTTATTACTATGTAAGTATTTTTTCACTTTCTATTAAAAAAACACATACCAACATGAACATGATAGAGTTGAGAAGAATAAGGAATGAAGCTTTCACTGTGTGGGTAGATGACAACTTCTTCCACGTCATAGTAACGCCTCAGGTCGATTTTCCACCATGGATCTGTCTGCTCCTTTGTTACTATACATGTTAGTCTGTCATTGTCAACACCCTGATCAGCAGTCATTTCTATTACGGCAGTACTGGATTGTGTAACAGACCCCGTCTTTGTCAAATCAACTAAAATATAAGTATAATAATCACCGAGGTTTCTTTTGGCATTTTTATGGACCGAGACAAAGTTTAAATCAAAACGGCACTAATATCCAGCCACTTTGACCGAACAAGCTTGGTCAGAGAATTAACTTTATAGCAAAAAGATATTGCATTAATAAGAATCAAGGATGGCTTGTTTATTTCTAAGCAATGGGAAAATATGCCAACTAAGATGGTCTGTGTTCATTTTTCATTGGATAAATTGAAAAATAACGTGATTTAATAGGTTTTCATTAACTTTTTAAAAAAAATTTGCACAAAGGAAATTCACTGACTTCTGGTATCGTTTTCCTCAAGACCAAGCGGCTTCCATCTTAGCTTGCCCGCTCGAGATGCCAATCACAACACAGGATTCGCTTCATATTGTCTACAGGCGTTGCCAGCTATATGATACGAGGAGTTATTACATGGCTGGCTCCGAAAGAGGGTTAAATGAATTGCATCCCGTAATCTGGTTAGCTGACCCAACTAAGTCAGATAGGGCTACATATATTAGCATTGCATGTTTCTGTTTACCCACAAAAGCAAATTTCCGTGGTGAAGTCATTGCTCCATATGAATGTACCATGTTTATCAAACTGGCTTGACCAATATTTCAAACTATGGAAGACTTATCTTCATCATAAAAGGCGCCATTATCATTGCTGTTGTCATTGTCAACAAAATAAGCAAGCCCATCGCCTTTATTACACGTTGTAGTATAAAACATTACACTTACATTCGTATACAGCATAAATTTGCACTTCACACAAATTTAACGATGCTGTTTTGCTTGGAATAGTGATGAAAACATATCTACCACTTATTCTGTGTGGAGAGTTACACACATATTCCTTGATCACGTTTGCTCTTACATTGCCATCTAAAGAACTGCATGTGTCCCCTGACAGAGTCTCTCCTGGCAGAGAATAAAACAAAAGATCTTAAGCGTTGGTTAAAATTTGTAAAAGGAGCCCATTGAAGTTTAGGCGTTTAACATCTATTCATATGGACGAGATTTGAAAACAGTGATTGGCAGGGAAAGACATCCAGGGGAAGAAAGGAGGTTGTATGTACATAACTGGGCAGAGAGAGGGGCTGCAACCCACAAAAATAGGGAGGGGCTCGATCCCAAATAGAGAGGCGGTGAACTGGGAAGAGATGACCATTGTAACTCCATCACAACAAGAGTTTCAGGCTTTGTCGCTTATGTCTTGGGCAAAGGGCCATCAATAATGTTTACTCATTAATCACTAAATTACGTTTTCTTTTTTTTTACAAACTTCCCTAAACATGTCACTCAGTTCAACTTATCCTTACAAAGTACATATCCCATCAAGTAAACAGGTGATTGACATGCAATGGAGATATTCCTTTAGATAGTATAGTTATAATCAAAATAACTACTTCTATGGTATGGTACATTGCTCACCTACAATAACTGCTACATCTGTCATGTCTAACCTACTAACTAAATGAACAAGAGCAATAGGTCTAACAAACACCAGGTCTATCCTCAAAAATGTGTCCAGAGTAAAGGAAGTATCAAGGCAGGTTTGTAAATCACCATCCACAGCCACTGTGTATTCTGGCAGGCCTAAAGCAATATTATCTGCAAAATAAAGTTGTTGGTATTAGGTAATGTTCAAGCTGTTTTTTTTAGCATAACTATAAAGTAAGCAGCCAAATGTACATAGAAACCAAAGAAAATCAAAACATCTCTAAAGAAAAGAAAAATGAATCTTTCGCTTAAGCCAAGACAAGATAATCCTTCTTGCTACCAAAGATATAAATTCTCAAGAAAGTAGATGGTCAGAAAACATATTTTCTATTTATTCACCCACCTTTGTATTGCCTTCATAAAATCTTGAAAAGAAACCCTCTTTAATACTTCAGCATAAAATGCTACTTACAGTGTAAAAAAAGATGGTTTTATTTTGAAGAAAAGAAACTCAATTGCTTCTAACTTTGCTCTCACAAAAAAAAAATAAGATGACATAAATAACAAGATTTGTAAAGCTCTCTGCTTTTGGCCCATAGAAGAGGTTTATTGAGCATTACAACACTAAACGTCACTTGATCCCCTGTCCCACTGAATCCCAGTCACTTACATAACATAAGAGGCAAATCACCATGGATTTTTACAGTACATACCATTAGAATCATCATATACATAAACTTCACAAAGTGTTAAATTATTTGTTTCCCACAGTCTGATGTAGAGATATCTGGCAGTGATAGTTCTACCACAGTGTACATGCCAGCCTTTGTGATCAGGAATGTTTGCCACAGTGAAATTGCTACAAAGGTAATTAAGGAAATCCTGACCAGGCACAGGAAAGTTATCTTCCAGGTGAGGACCTTGAATAAATAAAAACGTTCTGCTGTTATTTTTCAAAAAAGTGGAAAGAACAAAGTGAAAGTGTGAACAAACAATTCTTCCAACAAAACTCACCAGCATAGATCAGAAAATGAGTAGCCTGTGAATCACAGCAACGACTCCTAAACTGGATGAAGATATGAGCAACATAAACTACCTCCTCCAAGTCTAGTTGCCACCAAGCATTAGCTTGGCTGGTGGTAGAACTGCAGCTTTGGCCAATTGAAAACAGTGGGTTAAGGTTACCATCCACTGCTCTTGACGAGACTGCATCACCTGATGTGCTAGACTGATTAGTTGGCTTACCCTCAGATAAATTGATGCCACCTGCAGCAAATTTTCACAATACAATAATGGTATCAGAAGAAAATACATAACAACTGCCTCATTACACTGCCTCAGTAACACTGCAGAAGCACAAAGGTTATCAATTTGAAAATTTAAAGACAGCTGGCTAACCCTTGCAAACATCTAAAATGTCATTATTTAAGACTGCCATGAAAGTCCCTCTAGAAGATAAAAAGCCTTTTCTGCATTTGCAAATATAGTAAAATGTAGGAAACTTGTCATTCATATATTCTCTTGTGCATTCTGAATTTGGAGGACAGACAGTCTGCAGTTTGCATGCATCTGAAAAACATAAAAGAAATCAAAACAGAAAATTGGAAAGATAAAATAGCAAAAATAATTAAACAAATAATAGACCACTCAACATTTAGGTGTTACAACCTGTATCAATGGTTTGACTGGCAAACAGACAAATGATTGAGGAAAACAAACCAATCTACTAAATTAAGACTTCACATTGTGCAAAATGTTTTAGATGGGAAGTCTTAAATTAATGTAAGTCTATCTGAATTATGATATCAAAACTTTAAAATCTGTTCCTATCATGCTCTTCACATATAAAGGATATTGAACCTTCCATGTGGGGTGAGAGTAGATCTTACAGGTATATTGGGGATGAGGGGGCAAATATAGGAGCTTAAAAAAAGTAAGGTAATTGGAGAAATTGTGAGTTTTGTGTGGGTTTATATGAAAAAAATGGAGTTCCACTATTGGTAGGAATATGGTGTCAAGAAAACAAGAGTATATTAGTTGAATGAAAACTGTTGTGGATACTGGGGCAGTTTTCAAAATGTTGCTTAAACAAAAAAATGCATGATTCAACTAAAACTGTTAAATTATTGCTTAAATTATGTCTCATGGTATAGATTTTGATATGAAGGTTATTTTATAGCCACTTAAGAAGAGGTTTAAAAATTAGGCAATAGTAGAAAATTAAATTTAAGGGAGGGTCAACTGTGGCAGACATCTAGCAGCATCAGAGGATGTTTTTTGTAAGCAACTGTACAAAACAGACTATGCCTAGCCATCACTGAGAAGTTCAAGCCATATACACTGTTAGTGGGGCTCCAGGAGTGAAACAAGATTTTTAGAGCATTTTGTCATTCGTTGCTTGACAGTGCATTAATTTTATAATTTAATCAATTTGCATAAAATTATCAATACTTTAAGTTCTGGTGCTGCAATCATCTTGCAACTGTGTATTAACCCTTTCACTCCTTAAAGTGATTAACATGAAACTTCTCCCTATAACATCTATACATTATTCAGCAAACAGGTAACGAGAATATTCAAACTCATCCGGTAGATCAAGATGCTAACTTGATCTAGCAGCAAGTTTTTGTAACTAATTTACAAGGATACATGTAGTAGCTAGAGAGGGAGAATTAAAATATCAGATTTGAGAGTTGAAGGGTTAAAGAGAGAATAATTCACCTTGGTGACGAAGATCACCATGACTAAAACTCCTTGCTGCGCCACCAGAATCTATAAATAAAATGGAGAATTATCAAATGCAAACATGTAACCTCCAAGCATCTAGGTCTGGCCACCATTTTAAAAAGTTACTTTTGCCAGATGGCAACTCTGAAAAAATCTAGCCCAAGCTGATCATTTTAAAAGAAAACTTACCTGGCTGTATTTCATATCTCCCGGTAAGCCAATCCTTTACAGCTGTAACCTTTCCCAAGGAATAATTAGATGAGAATGGAGCTAAGACAGTATCATTAATCTGTAGAGCTCCAACACGTACAGGATAGTTTGGGTATATGTCTCGTGGCTGGTCAAAAGTTTCCAAAGCAGTACTAAAAGTCAAAGTGACCTCCATGTACATGTAGAGTCTAAAATTCTCCACAGCTACCCACTCAGAATCTTGCCACCTTGATGTCTGTTTATAAAATAACAGGCCTTCATTCCCAAGGCTGTGTGGAGTTTCTATAAAATTTGGCAATGTTTTTTTTTTAGATTGGCAGTCAAGTTGTATAAGATTATAGTCATTGATGAAGATAGAACTGAATAGAGTTGCTCAGGTGATGATAGAAACTTGTGCACTGTAATTGGTTGAGAATTTAATGTTACAGCTCCTCAAAATTACCCCGCAGCAAAAAGTGATTATGATAATTAAACTAATTGTAGAATTAATAATTAAAATTAATTGTAGAAACCCACACAAGACTACAAAGCCAAGAGGGTTACAAGAGATATAATCACAGACCAATTTGCCCTGTTTCAAAGTAAAGGGTGGGAGATAGAGCTTAAAGATGGAAAAAGTAGGATAGGCAGGTAATTAGAAACCACAGATTCTCATCCCCAGCACAGCAGTCAGTTGTCAGGTATCATGACCAATTTTGGCTGGATGCACACCAATTTCCTTTGAAAAATTTCAAGGGAAAACCTAAGAAAAGACAAATCTAATGCAAAATGGGCAAAAACTTGAAACATTCACAGAAATCAAAACCTCTCTAACACAAGGCTTTTTTGATCACAAATTTCCTGCAAATTACCATTTTGTTTTTAACTTTATCCTTATGGCTTATGTGTTTTTATAATAAAGTTCGGATATAATGTGCGCTGTCATTGGTTGAAAGAGCGTGCTCTATGAGAGTATAGAGCATAGAGCTGAGCTATAGCTGTCACGCCACCTGTCAATTGTACTATGTTCAAGCTTTTCTGGGACTTCTTTTTAGCTTTTTTCCGATAATTGAAAGTGAAATTTCGGAATTGAAGCAATCCGGCAAGTAGCAACAGAAGAATCAAACAAAGGTTTGTAAACATACCAGGCGCCGTAATTTATGTTATGAAAACGTGAGCAGATATGAAAATCCTCAAAGGAAAAACAAAATAAACATTCTGTGTTTTAAAAATTTTCACACTCAGTTAGATTGCAAGCTTACGTACAGTAATAAAAATCAAACGCCGCTAACACTCATATAGTATATAAAATTCAGTGTTCAAAAAAAAAAAAACAGAACAAAACAGAAATGATGAAAAATATAACCAAACTGGCATAATTGTTAAAATTCATACAAATCATGACGGTGTTTGAGCGAATATGATCATGCTGAAGTTCATCGCTGCTCGCTCATCATGGTAATCTCTGGTCATCACAGTAAAGCAAGCCTCAGAAACTACATTGGCCGCCCTTCAAGTGAAAAAATAAGAGCTTGCTTTGATATCCTTTCCGATACGTTGAGTGGCAATTCACATCAGTCACTGCAGCCAAGTTTTGTGG